TCGAAATACGGCAGGGTCTAATTGGTCACGCGCGGGGTCCCGATAAATGGTCAAGTCGGGCCACCACGTTCTGACCATAACCGAGAAGTTGGCCGGTAGCACGCGCCGGTTAAGACGTTAGCAGCTGCCGGGATAAGGCGTTCAAGCTTCCGAGGGCCACCGAAATACGACACAGCCGGCACAATGCGCGTGATAATCGAGCAAGTAAGGCATACAGGCCATTCAACGGCCGGGCAACTAATAACACAACTCGGCGCGAGAGTTCGGTCGTCGGGGTGGCCACCCCCTCGGGGAATTTCCTTGCGCAAGCGGTTAGAGACCCCTATAATTCACGTAGTCAGGAATCGTGTCCACTCTAAGCAAATAATATCCTTTCCAACGGTGCAGTGGACCGACGGTCATGTTTCAGGGGAATGTCTCGTGAGGGGAATTTCGCGGTGAAAGAATCGACTTTAGAAGCGGGTTCTGCGTGGAGAATTAAAGACGACGTGGAAGCTTTTCTTCTTTATTAAGCATTCAACGCGCAGGCCCCGTTGTGAATTCTTTTCTAATGGAAGGAGATATTTATTTTCGAAAGAACCTTGGAGTTCCTATCGATTCGAGTTCGAAGTACTTTCGTCGAGACACATTGGGGAGTTTTATATTTCTCAGTCACCACTTGATTTGATATAACTAAATTGTAAAGTCTTATGTAAAGCATTAAGCTTTGAATAATGTCAAAATGTTTGAATCGATATGTGAAATATTGGAATAAAATAGCTTTGTTCCTTAATTTATGAATGTTGGTAGTTAGTTTCGGACAATGTTGTATATATCTCGTAAATGTTGAATATTTCTAGTAAAAAGCTTTCGAGTGCAAAGGGTTAACTTTGTGAAGGAATATAAGGTTCCAAACCCGGCGCAATTATTTTCAAATTCGACCCAAATATCGTACATCTAAGACTTTTTATTTTAACACATTCACGCTGATGATATTCAATTTGAGTTGGTACGTAAATAGTTCATTCTAACCGACGATTATTATGAAAGGAGAAGGCGATATTATTTCCAAAAAGTTCCCCTCGGGGAATCGATTTTTCACAGAGCAGACCGCAGAACGAATCATTCCGCGCGCAGTGTAACGATTCATCCTATCAAATATTTGCCCCGAGGAATTTCGATGCTCGTCAATCGATCAGCCATTGTTGCCGATAGCTTTTCGTCAATTTGAATAACAATAATCGCGTGCAGGTGGGTCGCCGTGCGATTTCCCGATGGAACTGTCGTTCATCGATACCGAAAGGAAATCGGGTCAGGCAAATTTCCGCGCTTTTTGTGTCGCGGGAAGTGTCACGGTTTTAACGAGCCATTTGATCAGTGATGCACGACCTTTTGCGCAAAAATGGCTGCATACCATACATTAGTCGTGGGCTGTAACAACGAATTCTCATTTCCTTCAATGTTATAAACAATTATTAAGCAAAAAAGAATGGCGTAAAGAGAAATTCTGTGGAGTAATTCTAAAAAGTTCGGTAAGCAGTTTTAACCTGTTAACTGTGGAATTTAATTTGAAAAGTTTCTCGTTTTGCGCGCAATAAAGTAAAAAAATGAAGTGTATATTTGTCAAACACAGGACGAATACACCTAGGATATATTTTAATGAAAAACCAAAGTAAAACATAAAAGAATTACGTGCTTATCTAAAAAAAATAAAGAATTCGTCGTTGAAAGAATTAGTATCATTTTGATTTTAAGATGACGTGTACACTCGTCGAAAGCAGTCAACTGGTTAAATAGATCACGAGAAGTCCAAGGGACAGGAAAATTTCAACCCTTCGCGGTCGAATATATCCTTAACGGTGACTTCGAATTTTGATATCTAGAATCGAAATCTATGGAAATAATCAAAGATTAATACGTAGTTCTCTTCTGTTCTGGTATTTAAGATTTCAATGTACTATTCGGTATTTAAAATTTTGAAAAATTCTCGATTACAAAAGGTTTAAACGGACTGCGTATCGCTGCATTAAGTCTTCGGCGTCCCACATCAACGCACAGGTATTCCACGCATTACCCATGCGTCCTTTTGTACCATCCAATTAATTATTTTGAAATGATCGAGTGATTTTATTGGATTTAAAACGAGCTGCGTTTTCCTATGAATTATTAATTACTCGGGTCGACTGGACTCAGTAATTCGCTCGTGGAAAATTTGCGTGGACGACCGAACGCGGAAGAACGGACTTTGATGAATAGCGAGCCACTGGATTTTCCGAAGACAAAACGGTCACGTTGGAACAGCGCCATGGTACACGGGACAGAGGAATGGAAGTTTCCATTGAAGAATAATTAGGTGTATCTGTGTTCATTGTCTCGTAACAAGGTGACTGGAGACGAGAAACTAGTCAAATATGTATTCTCGGCGTTACTTGGTAAAATACATTGACATAATTTTGTGGTTCTTATATTGCGCCCTTTATCAATTAGCGAAATTATAAAGAATATTACAGTTACAAAACTGTATGTAGAAATGAAATGTTACACAGCCTTCGAAGACTCGAAAGAGTAGAAAGAGAGGATGAAAATTAAGGGGAATGCCCTTTGCCCTAATCCTCAAGGCCAACCGTTGACCTACCCTCAGAGATACAACTGGCGAGACTGGTTTGTCTCTTATTTATTAGCTTGAGGATAGCGTCACATAGAAACCTGTTTTCACTGCACGAGTTAACCCTTCGTGTGTCCACCCATTAAGGATTAGTACAGGAATGCGCATCATGGGTTTAGTCCCTACAATACTTGGTCTTGCACATTCTGAATGTAATTGTTATTCAAAATGATAATAAATAGGTAAAATAGTTGAAAATTGTTTTTCTATAATCGTAACAATGAGTTTTTATCGATTATAACAATCATCGATATATACTGTATTCTTTTCGTGATCTGTGTAAATAATTGGCTGTACCACCACTGCTGCTAAATCTGATTAACTTTCTAAAATAATTCCTACGTTTATCTTGAACAAAACTTCTTCAAAATTCGTCGAGCAACTGCAATTCGTTCATGAACACCTTATATGTACTATGGCTCGCGTACATACTCTAACTAATTGATACAGGAAACGGTTTGGACGTAATATCGGCTGATAAGACTCGTCGGTTTAGGATTGTCACCGTTCGGCCAAGATTTATGCTCCAGCGGGCAGTGTGTGCACAAAGCGCGACAGAAAGTGCCATCAAATCATCCACGGCCACAATTGCAATCGATCAGGTGTGCGTCAGGTATCACACCTTCACGGTGGAATAATTTATTGCGACCGTCCAGGGGCTGGCCAACAATATAAGCAATTTCGTGTGTACAATGCGCCCACCGGCCACCAATAAATATGAACAGAGTAGTAATAAATTACGAAGGACGATTAGAGAGGATCGACGATAAATTAACGTGAATGCGCGCGGTCTACTGTATCAGTGATATGTCTCGCGAGTGATCCCCTGGATCATATACGGAATTTATCCATTTTTCGCTCACAATTTGTTTCAGTTGTCATATCATTTTCCCTCTTTATCGCTGAGTTAATAGGGAAATAATATTTTTCACTAATTTTGTAGTGAATTAGTACTTTTTTCCTTTTATAAATAGTTTTCGTGTAATATGAATTTATTAAATCTATTGAAACATTGCATTTGGGAAATTTACTCTTGTCTGTTTACATTAAAAATAATATCCTTGATTCCCAGATTTTTATATGTATTGTGTACTATTTCCATGCCTGCGATGTGTTCTAATTCAGGGATTCTCGTTGCATGCAACGAGACTGCATTATCAACAGCCTACATTCTGATATGCAACTGCGCTTCCAGAGGGCAGCAAGTATTTGATTTGCATAGGAGAACAAAAATAATCGTTTAATGAAATTTAAATGAGAAATTGTGAAATTGGGAACGCAGAAGAAAAATTTTCATTGCTAATGTGCGACGGATGTTTCGTTATTTCATTATAAACCGGTCTTCCTTGTATTATTGCATAACATTATGCTGTAAATAGAAGGAAACTGCCAACGATGAAATGAAGGTAATAAAAAATTAATTTTGAAAAATATAAAAAAGATTTCCTTCGAGCCGGATTTGAACCAGCGACCTATGGATGTCTCTCAAGTAACGAACCAACTACAGTCCACCGCTCTACCAACTGAGCTATCGAAGGCGATGAGAGATTTCATCGCTACAGAGTAAACAGTGTACAGTTCACGCTGTAAATAAATAAAAGTCACTTGTGCATAGTAACACATGCAAATTTTACATGCACCAATTTTCATTTTTATTTTTTTCCACCTATAGATTAATTTTTACGTACATACAAATTTATAAAATTTATACTGCTCGTTAGAGCCAAAACAGATCTACAATTTTATCCGTGTATTTAATGACACTTTTCCTCCCTGTAGAGTCCAAAATTAAATAAATACTTATAAACTGGATAATTTATATTTCCATACACTTTGGCCATTTAATGGTAATAATGAAATAGAAAACTTGTTATTAAAACACAATACTTGGCATTGAAAAGATCCTACATTGAAAAAGGAAACTGCTAATAAATTACTGCTAAATTGAAAATATTAAGTTCAACGTTTAACCTTGAAGACCCTCCGGAAACAAATGAGCTTACATATAAATCCTTTTAAGGCAAATTATCGTGGAGTTTATAAATTAAATTAAATAATACATGAAGGTCGGTTCAAAAATCATTGATAAAATTACAGATCTTATATCTAATCAACAAGTTTCGAGGATTGGCGTTAAATACATCAATGGCTTGTCAATAAAGTTAGGTTGTGATTGACATCAGACTAAATGACACTTGAGGGAAACATGCATGAATTGTGAACTTTGGATCATGAAACGAATTCCAATAAAGTCAAATAAATACGCAAAGTCGAAAGAGAGTGACGACACAATGAATCATTAACACAAATAAGAAAATTCACCGATTTACTAATACATAACCTAAAAATCTCTTACCGAAAGTACACGTTGCTGTATGGCCGGAACACTTATTCGCAGCGATGTTCACCAGATCGTTAAACCAAGTTAACATTTATTACAGACTTGTACCGCCTGTGCCGAACATCTTGTTTTCACTCTAAGCACTATTGTTTACACCTTTCACAGCCCCGACACTTTTGGGAAAAAAGGTGCTCACCGAACAGCTTAAACTACGTGCAGACGTTGCGTATACTGCAATTTTCAATAAATTGTTCTGAAATACCGACACACTAAACAATGCTCGAACGTACTAGCGACATCTACGTTAACAAAGCGGTGAATACTCAAACTGCATAAGACAGCAATGTAAAATGATTACATGTTCTACAAGGTAAGTTTTCAACACAAATGGGACTGCTGTTGATAAAGTAAAGTTTCTTTAACATACCACAGATAAATAAAAAATAAAACATATATTTATAGAAAATGATTGATAAAGTATCTGATATTCCTCAAAAGAAACAATTATTCTAATCAAATGAAAATGATATAACGTAATCTTCTTTGAAACATTTATGCACTAAAATTACTTTGTGTCTCGATTTCTGTTGGTTACATTTAATAACAACTTTTATATGTGAAATCATAAGAATGTCTATCTTATACCTCGTCTTTGGTGTTGATAACCTAGAAAAGAAAAGAGAGAAATTTATCCTGCCTCTCATCGGTGTTACAGACTTGACATACGTAAACATTGCAGCTTATGGGAATTTTGTAAGAATTCGACTGTGGTAACATAGGTACATATTTTAAGTCTGCGTCGGTGTCTTAGCAACATAGACTTATTTTTCATGTTGGATGTACATTGAATTTCATGTGTTGTGCACGGATGGCGCTGCTATCACTTGGATGGATCACTTTACGATGTGTGGTAATTATGTACCAATTCATATAATGAGTTTGTAAAAAGAAATTTCGTGTTTCATTACAAAATATTATTCAATAAACTGTTTTCTATTATGTTTTAAAACTTCCATGACCTTTCTCTTTTTACGATAAAAAAGCTTTTACATTAATTGAATTTTAAAAAGAAATAGAAACTTCTTTTTTACATAAAATAATACAAAACTGTTTTAATTATCTTACTTTAAAGTTTAACGTTCCACCATTTAATGTTATATAAAAAGATATTAAATTCAGATGTTGCTAAAATAATTGCAAAATTCTACTCATCACCCTTGAAGTTTTACTCTACCCACTAGAAATAGTACCGCTTAGTAGTTATCCCTTAATTATTAATACCTGAGTAATACTTCCTTTTTTTAACTTCTTACCTTATAGTAAGAAATTAGTTTGGAATTGGAAATTTTCAATCCAACCTAATTAGATATATGTAGTGCATAAGTCCAAGTAAACGACAGTTCCCCTATTATCGATACATAATCTCTAAAGTAAATGTACATTTTCAATGAACATTAACAACGACAACGATCGCGAGGAACATCCTAATTTACGAGGTTAATTGTTTCCTTAATATGATAATTTTCGAACAATTTTCTGTCTACACAAGTAATCGAAATTAAATGAAACGGCAAGTAGTCGGCCTTCCCGTTAACACGATTCCATTGATCTGGTTCTGACGACACGTTTGAGGAAAAGGACTGTCCGACGGGTCTCGTCAACGTATAAGGTCGACCGGACAGTACTCGGACCACGGACACCAGTGAAAGTGTATCGCGGTACCCCACCCTGGGCTCCCTAGATCGGAAATCGTGCACGCGTCCACTAGGAAGGGGCATGGACGTGGGTATGGGTATAGATACAAGTGCCCACATTGCTATAGGCAAGATCGTCGCGCGTAAAATCGTGCGAGGCTAACTGTGGCAGAGCCTGGATCCACCAGGCCGTAGAAACACATACACGAGTGTCAGTGCCGGGTGACTACGGTAGCCGATGCTAGCACGTCTCTGCAATTGCCGCCGTAGAATAGTGTTTGAAACAATTCTTTTTATAACATTCATTACCACTTCTTCCTCAAAAATCGTATAAGAAAACATAAAGCCGACTTTGGTCTCCTAAGTCGTGCGTTGCTAAACGCTTACCACTGTTCAACCCTTTTGTGAAGTGCGGTTACGAAATGTGTATGCTTTCGGGTTCGAAAATGTTTTTAATTGTGATGGGGAACTAAGAAAACGTATTAAGTGTTGCTTGGTACTTAGAAATCAATTAGTCAAGTAAATTTATAAAGCCTGATGCGATAGTTGATCATGCATGGGGGTAGCTGTTCTTTCAGGGCTGCTAATGTCAATGAAGCATACTTGCTAGAAATATCATCTTAGTGTGACACGTTGGTTTGAAGTTGTGAACATAAATAGAGATTGCAAATATATTCAACCTACATTCTCCATATCTCGTTTACAGGGGTGTTAACCCTTCAAAATTTGCTATTAAGAATATTTCTAAATAGGCACTACATAGAATCACTTCAGGAAGTAAGATACAACTGATTTCACTCATTAACTTACAACTTATAATCTATTTATTATTTATAATTCGAAAGTTCCAATAATAACACACCGAAAAATAAGGCTTCCTGAAACGACCGTAACTAGAAACGTAATGAGAACTGGAAGACAATAGCTTCATGAAAATCGGTGTGTTACACTCGGGCGATGTTACCCGTTAGAAATTTTCCTCCGCGCAGATTATCAACGAGTTTTATCGAATAGCGATTGTACCAATCCTGGGTGAACAGCTACCGTGTGACATGAGTTACAGCCTTCTTTTTCGTTCCGTTGGCCGCGTAATCGCTCATCGGTGGACCATTGTTTAATTGTTTCTTAATTCACACAGTTTAGACTGTCGGGAAACCGTTCCCCGACGGAAGATTAACCGGCCGCTGGAGGAGGCGTATCGTTCTCCAGCCGTGGGGAACAATACTTGTCAACACCGGAGCGACTCGATGATCACGCGTCAGCGTTTCCGCGATCCGTCCAGTTCGCCAGGCGCATCCTCCCGCGGTTACCGGCACGCGATTCCCTGATCGGCCAAGCCGTTTGTCGCGGCAAATTCCTGCGGCAGAACTCACGCGGCGCTAATTATGTGATTTAGCCGTTACGTTTCCGTCGAGACACCTGCCCCGCGCGAGTGGTGTACGCGGTGCGATCGAAAGACGATAAGGCAAAGACGTGTACCGACGAGACAGTCCGGTCTTGCTGGAGATCATTCTCAGTGTCCACGACAGGGGACATTCTCAGCCGAAAATGAGACGCTTGTTGAGCCTGTTGGCAGTTGTAAGTAACGAATCACTTGAAAACTACTTTTACTTATGAGCCAACCCTTTAGAGACGATGCTCAATTTCCTCTTGCAGGTGAAATTCTTTTTTCTCCGTTGCAAATGTCACCAACAATTTAAGTTTTTCATACTTTTTGTGCGTATCTTTAAGTCTGGAAAGTATTGGAAATGGTAAATGTTTAGTATTAGATAATAAGACGCAAGAAACGATATGAGGATCAGTGTATGAACGTAGTCTCTGAGATGTTAGGGTACCTACCATCAAACTCTTCGAAGGGTTGATTATAATTAGTGAAACGGAAAACGTGAAAATAATTAAAGAAAACGATGTATTTGTTATTATATTACAAGTCGAAATGCATTAACATTGACCATGCTTATTTAAGATTATAGATTATAGTAATTTCCACTGATTCGTAATTTTGGTTAAAGTATAAAGAGACAAAGGAAGTCGAGATTGTAAAATAATATCGTTTTTCTGTTGTATATTTCACGAGTTAACGGGAAGCAGAAAAAACGTTCTATATTAATATGAGTGACAACTATCTAGCACCGGTCACTTGCATCACACCTTAGATAAATTGGTTCAACGATCCCGGAGATCGTAACACATATTTTTTTTCATTCAGTAACGACCGTGTAGTTGAAACAATGCTTCATCCACACACACTTCGTGTAACTAGGTTAAACCTCTTTTTCAATTGTAATTACACCGAAAAAAAATTGTTCAAATAAAAAGCTAGATGGTATTTACTTATTTTATCAAATTCTAGCAATTATTATTTTACAGTGGATACAATCTGTCGTAGTTATACATAAAAAGTATTATTTTCATAATTAGTCAAACTTGATAGTCGATGCAATCTATTGTAAAAAAATTCTATCTTAACAAAATCTATTGTAACTTCACAAAATTTTATAACCTCAACGAGACATTCAAAAGTAATAGACGTTCTTTCATCTTTAACCTCATTAAAGTTAAAATGTAGAGCTGAAAAATGAAAAGTCAACGTGGTCAAAGCAAAAAATTACAGAGGAATCACTCTCTATTAAAATGAAGTTTTTATCTAATCGGTAGTAGCTTGGTAACGAATTGGGGAAACATAAAAAGTCCATTACGAGGAAACTAACCGACAAAATGGCGAATCAAACGTTTCGAATCCTGGACGGTTGCTTCAAGTCTCGTCTTGTTGCCGCAATGCGAGGACCGCGACACGCGAAAAGGAGACTGCGTACAATTTTAAGGAAACGTCTAAACGTCGTTTCCAATTCGTAACTCTGCGAGGCTGTCTAACGTTCGTGCGTGAAAGTGTAACTACCTTCGGGCGCGTGTCCGTACGGAGAGACACACGTTTCACGACCGCTTACGCGATGATCCGCGTAACGTCACGACCGATCTTTGCGAGACGAATAGTTTCGTGCAGCGTGAAAGCCTCGCTCGTGTAACGACTAGTAATATAACATGTAAGATCGTCTGTGTTTTGTAACGACCGTGCAAAACGCTCGCCGATTCCGAACTGTGCAGCTTGTAACGCTCGTAATTGATCCTTTCAATAATAAAGAAACATATAGATCTCATGGAATGTATGAAAATTCCTCATATAAAATAATCCCTTTTAGACTGCGGATTTCTATGCATTTATGGAAAATTTGAGAGTGCAAAAGTGTACAAAATGCACATGGCAGATCCGAAAGAATATATAAAACTTTTATAGCATTTACGAGGAAAAATATATTCATAATTCTGTTTCTCTAATTATGTTCTTAAAAATTTATTAATAATCGCAATTGTTATCCACTTATTAGAAACTTAGTGTTTTAAACTGAAATTGTATATTTTGAAATTTTACGTATGTATGTTACTATTCTGCAAGAATTTTCGTTGGGAATAGGCAACTCGACTGCTCGAGTGATCGTTTATTTACCATGCCTTTTTTCAGAAATAATGTTCGCGGTAAATTAAACACGGTTCTTCTGAACGATTGGATACGCAAAGATTCACATCGTAGATGAAATTTACTTTGCAACATAGCAACTGTGTTACTCAAATATGATTGATGCAATTTTCGCTTGAAAGTGAAACATTTGATTTCGAGCGTGAAATACGGAAATTTGACTTTCCGAAAGTATTTTTGAACGGAGTACTTCATGTTGGGTCGTGAATTTCTCTAGGGAGAACCAGTTTAAAGTATTTTTAGGTTTTCGCCTTTGTTTATGTAGAATTTGTGGTTTCCCTTAAAGGATGACATAACGGGGAAAATGGTTTAGACTATGCTTAGCAATTTTAACGGGGAATTTCTTAATAAATTTGCAGAACATCATTTATGTTGAACGAAGACGTCACTTTTGTTCGAGAGAGATAAAAAGATACTAAGATACTTAGTATTATCAAAATTACAAATGCCTTACACTTTTTAAAATCCATAAAAATCACATTCTGCTAATAATTTTGATGAAAGCAATTGTACGTTTGGAATGTACAAATTCGGGCATAGATCAAAGTAGATTCCGTTCACATTTCTGTTGTTAATATTTTAACAGTAATGGGGTTGCATCACATCGTTTCACGAATCATCAGAATGAAAGTGGTTTCTCTGTACTCGACTGATTTCCGTCGTGATCTGGTGATCGATGAAACGCGGTGCCGCCGGCTGTGTCATACGGATGAGTCAATTGAAAGTGGCATAAGAAAGCAGTTAAACGCCACTGCACCAGGATATTACGTCAGAGTTAAATCCGTGTTAACGACCGAGGTCAGATAACGATCGCTCGTTTCAAAATTTCAGATTCAAAAATAGGCTGATGAGAATAGATTCGTGAATGATGGCTAATTCTAATACGGCATTCATCTCGATAACTCACAACAAGCATGGTTTACCATGTGTTTCGCGATTGTAATCACGATTAATAATGAGATTGATTACGCAACATCATAGGAACATGTAATTTTTATGAAACAATGTTAAGGGGGGATGTATCGAGGTATGAAATAACTCTTTTTGCAGATTTTCCAATCAAATATCTCTGAATGGAAATATTTGGTAAATCTGAATCTAATCTAAAACTCGCTGAATGCAATAATTACTTGTTAAAGAAAGTGAAAGCCGGTGAAGCTTACATAATGTTCGAGTATATATGAATTTTTTCTGTAACTCTCTTCGCCATCTTGGCAAAAGATAAAGATAAAGGATGAACCCAATTTACATAATGCATTAATTGAAGAGATGAAACTTTAGCTTTTTGATTGATTGACGTAGAAAAGAAAAACAATTCTGTATATTTTTATTTAATTTTATAAAAAGATTTGTTGTATTCGAGGAATGCCACGCGTCGACAAATTTATTTCAATGAACTATGATTCATTCAGATTCCGCAACTGACCAGAGATTTCTCCTAATAATTTTTATAGAAATTTTATAAGCACAACGCTCTAATTACGTCTATCGCTGCAATCTTTTTGCGCCGATGTTGTATGCAAATACTGTTCGTGTTCTTCGCCCGATTATGGTAAAACAAACTGTTTGAAAATTCAATTATTCGCTCTCCTAATTGAATAGCTACAGTTCATTTCTGAAATAAAATTCCAAAATTTTTTGAAATGCATTATTATCATAATTCGTTGTGAAAACATTTGTTTCCCATCAATAATGTCGATATGATTTCAGATATCCTTGGGGAACACGCATAGTCAGCCTTGCATCGAGTACGGGTGTCCAGGACGACCGCAATTCGAGACCTTTGTTCCTGCGCCGCCGGGACACACTCCTAATTGCGCGAAGCCGGGGCAAACGTTCTGCGAGAATGTCGACCACTACCCCCGGTACGAAACTCAATTTGTGTAATAAACTTTAGCTTTAAAAATGATAAATTTTAAAAAGGCACATTTTAGTTTGGAAACAGATAAGTTTGAATTTAAAAAAAGATAGGTTTCAATTTCAAAAAAGATAAATTGTAGTTTCAGAGAAGATAAATTTTAGTTTCAAAAAGGATTAAATTAATTGGATGAATTACAGTTGTAATTATTCAGCATGCGAAGGTTGAAGAGTGTAACAAATCGAAAACAAAATAATAACTGATACCAGATTCTTGTTACACAGAGTTCGACGTCCCAGAAAGACCAGACGACCTTCATCGAAGGCGTCTAGAGCCATTTAAAGGTCGATTAATTAAGAAAAAAGAATTATACAAAAAGATCAACGCATCGGGAACTTCAAGGATTCTTTCTTTTTCCTTAAAATGTCAAGGTCGAGTGGCAATCGTAGAGTTTCCAGTTATCGCAAATTAAATGCTTCAGTTTATAAAGAATATAAAGCAAAGAGGGAGGAATTTATAAAGTTATCACAACCTGTAATTGGTAAATTATAAAACTTAAGGTACTCAAATTTGAAATACATTGACAAGAAATTATTCAGACACAGAAAATTCGAAGGGTTTACTGGCAGCTCGGAGACCCACTTCCGGTATTACGTTACGTCCTCGATCGAACTCTATTCCGAACCAGCAAAACGGAGCGTGCGACATCCAAGATATCATTCAGAGCAATTTCGTGATCGCGATTCCGGGACTTTCCCTTCCTGAAATTTGTCTCGGCACGTACGAACTGATTTGTATGCGGACATGTCACCGCCAACGCCATTGGGAATGTTAATGGCAGGATAGCGAGTGATCTGTATTTTTATAAATTCTCCAGAGCCAATTTTTTGGAAACTTCTCGAACTGACATGACGTCTCCGGTTTCGATACACTAGTTTGTAATTTACATATTTTTTATTTCCGTAGTTTCGATTTACAAGTTTGTCATTTACTTATCCTTTATTTTCCTCGTTTCAATATACTAATTTATCATTTACTAATCTTTTATTTCCTAGTTTCGATTCACAAATTTTCATTCTTCATTTTTTATTATATATTTTTTATCCCTCAGACACTTAACGTTGCCAATGATGTATACCCCACTGGCACACTGTTACAAAATTAATCCCGTTTGTAAATTATTTTGAAAAAATACATTCGCATTGTTATTCATAATGCAGCGTTAATACCAACCTGGTTTAATATTAACTCCGTTTCCAACTCCATTGAGACAGACTCGAGCAAATTTCTAAGTAATAAATTATCGAACGAATCAACGTAACAATTCGACGTACACGATGAATGGTATCACTTTTTTCAATTGCTCTGTTCGGCGGCTCCGTGAACGGACAATACACGCGACCGACACCTTGGAACGATAGCGTTTCATTCTCCCGTGACTGTTAACAGCCGGTATTATCATGCAAATGCGCGATAATAAATCTGACATCATAGATCCGCGATGCGGTACGCACGCGTATTGTCTACGCGTAAGTAGCACACCGAATCTTTTCCAGTAATTATGTAAAATCTGTTGAATCACTGTTACCCTTTTTCTTATAATTGTCGTTTTTCTAGGAAAAATTGTATCGAATACAAGCGAGTCTTAAATGTGTAACGAACATTTTGAAAGATAAAAGAAGACTAACAATAGGCGATTCTTCTATTTAACATTCAATTCGACGAATCCTGTCATCGAAGAAATAACTTCAATGTGATTTTTATAAGATATTTAGACTATATTCATATAAATAAATGTAGTTAATTCATTATAATAATCCAGAAGCAACCTGAATCATTTAAATGCACTATACTTTTTTGTACATTAAAAGACTACCATTATATACTTTCCTTACTCGCAGCATATCTACCAATTGTTCTACGTGGGAGGAGTTCTTGGATTGATGCTGAAGTTTGACCTTATAGATACACTAATTTATTCAACATTGATTCATTTCGTAACGCGTTACACATAATCCGGACTCGGTTTCTTCAAATCCGGACACATAGAAAAGTCAAATTCTAATGATTCCATACTCATTTGTTAGAAAAAGGATCAATAAATAAGATCTTACGTGCATCGGTGACATAAACATTTGTTCAATTCGATTCACAAACTGTTGGTCCATTGCAAATTTTATATTTCTCTTGTAAAATAATAATAACGTATGACTATCGCAATGAATGTTTTCAGTTCGATTAAGATCGCGCGGAAAAGTTGTTAAAAAGTTTCCTCATTAACTTTTTGAAACATCCTGTACATTTTCCTTCCACAAGGCCCGAAAGCGTTCATCGGTTACGTAAAAACGAATGGCGACCTGGATAAGGTTGTTACGTCGGTTCCGATACGGTTAATTCCTTAATCATCGTAGCATGACCGTGGCCTTGAAGCGGTCATGCCCTGCTAGATAATTATCGGAACCGTTGCGATCGATAATCCTGCCATTCGATATACCATCGATCCATGGAACACGAGAGATTTATCATTGTACACGATCTTTGCACAGCATTCATGGATTTCCATTTCCATTTCCGTCTTGCCTGTCAGGTAAGGAGAGGTAAAGAGGAATACACATGAACATTTTCTATTCATTTTAGAGACTTTCGATTAAAGATTCTAAATCAGCTGTTTTTCACCCGTTAAATTGATATTTTCACTATTTAGTTATTAAGCCATCGATATTGGAACACCACGCAGAAACAACTTTATTGAAGACACATCGATTCGTTCTTTACTTTATGGTGCACGTGCAAAGTGACCTTCGTTGGCCTTACACGGTATAATACTATCATTACCAATGCAATGGCTTATCATTAACTATCGCATTGCGTTCGAACACTCCCAGCTGATTTATAACTCTCGCACAGACGATGTTTGTGCATTCCTGCATCTCTTCAAATGTTTATAGGTAAACATATCCTCCGCTTCGAAATTGCTTGCTGTAAATTGTACTATAATTTGAAGTAATTTAGAAATGCAAAGGCTTTCCCTCAGAGCCTCACAGTCAATCGTACATAAACACATAGGGCAGAGCTAAAATGTTTCGAGTCTTCCAAACAGAATTCAGGATTCAAGTAAATCATTAACAAGTTTGTCTTTGAGGATTTGGATTTGTACTCGTGTTGTCTATCGCCTTGCGGCAGTCGTAATGTTTTAGTCCGAGATAGTTTTCTCGATCGTGTTAAATTCCTTCTCTAGAAACTTGTATCGCCAGTCTCTATTATATTTCCTGGACATTCAAACCGGAAAATTGAAAAGTAGAATTTTAAACCACACGTACAATATTCCCAATAATAGTTATGACTTTTTGGGTTCTTCATAATCGCTTCTTCGGAACCGATATATAACAGTTTCAAACAGTTACCTTCAGAACCTTTTTAATCTCTGATTAAGACGCTAACTGTTCAAGCTAAATTACAGGAGAAGAAATTGAAAAGTGTCATTAACCCGTTAACGAAGTGCATGCTCGTCAAGCGCATGGCAAATGCACCTGTAATATATTCTAACGAAAAACTAAAGTAAAATGAAGGAAAATTACATGTTTACCTGAAAAAATAAATAATTTCTTCGTTGAAAGAATGATTATCATTTTGAGCTTTTAAAATGGCGTGTATGCTCGTCAAACGTGGTTAACTGGTTAAAATCAAACGGTACCAGTAGAATGCGCGGAGGTACCGTTCGAGGATATTCGAGGTCAATCAGTGACCTCCGGTTTTCGTCTGTTCCTGATTCCGCTTCTATTCGAAAGTCAGCCTGCTTTGATATTCCCCGGGACTGGAAACGATGTGTGATCGGGATGCAACCTGCGCGATCATTGGAATAGCGGCGACGAGACCGATGAAACAGCTTTTAGGCGTGGACCATGAATTATACATCGTGACGGATCTCTAGCCCGGCGTCTTTCACCGTTGCCGGTGAAAGTTCTTCGAGATTCATCGTGTACGAAAATTAGTGGGCGTGTTTGCCCGGGCAGTTCGCGTGTCTCCGCGCGAAATTCTAGGTCGACCGACAATTGATTTGGGTTCCCCGATAGATAACACCTTCGGTACACATTGATGGCTGTTCATCGATTGACTCGAAGCTGTTAAGAAGAGAAAACTGGTGCCTAAATCATCGTCGGATTCAGTGAAGTATTAAAATGACAATGAATGTCGCATTTACCGCACATAACGGGACAGAAATGTTTGTAGCTCTAAAGTTCAGGCGTTACGTAGCCATAATTAAATCAATGCAGCTTCACATGCTCTCGGTAGCCTCCTCTTTTTATTGTTCTCTCGTAAAAAAAAGTTTAAACAAAGCATAAATTTACTTTTTACAGTGTACATGTGATAAACCGTTTCAAAACACGGGACAACTCTGACGGTTAGCTGTTCTCCAATTTTTTCACTTGAAGCCTCGAAACATTTATGTCTCGGGATTGTGGTTTTAAATAGACAAACATAGTTGCGGAACGGTTAAAGAACACGTGAAAAGTCAAGTAACTTTTTATTCGGCTGGAAAACATATTGTTAAAGTCGTGTCAGAGGGTCATGCACGACTCTCAGGCTGTCCGATCATGGCAAATGTCGCGACTAATTTGCATCTCGCAGTCATAGGTCCCATATTATACCGACGATACAACAAAGAAAGTATGATTGCAGTTTTTTTATTGACATATTGCTCAGTTTCGATTTGTGTCGACCGCTTGTTGAACGGAGTTCTTTTCTCATGTTGCAGGCAGCTGATCAAGTTTCTCGTTGACAAATGCAGCTTCGATTTCATCTCCGCGTTGAGGGACGAGTCCAAAGACGAATTCAACGTTCACTGGTAGATCGTAGTAGATACACGATAATTTATTTTCGATTTATTCACGAAAACTAATGTAACAATATTTACATTTACGCTAATTTGATAGCAACATAATGTATATAACATTCATAAATCTCTGTATGTGCACAAGAAATCACATTCGAATCTTAGGTGTTAAATAGTCATTTGTCGTTTTTGTCTCTTCGAGTAAAACATTTTGTAACAGTAGCAAAACAGTGCAATTATAATACGCAATTTTTATTTTAAAAGTTCAAATGTCTTTGAGTAAGAAGTAAGCTGAACTTATCGTACAAAAAGAATTTCTACTAGCATTTATTAAAAAATCGAGTACCATTAAGATTGTTACCGTCGCGATGATTTTCTCCAAACTTCACGTTGAAATCGTTCAAGGTCAAGGAAACTCTGTTCAAGGCCAATTCCGGATTATACCGAGGGCTACAATTACGCCCAACGGGGGCAGCCGCAATTGCACTCGCACCCGTTACCATTCTTGCCGTCTCAGTATCCGCTACGGGGGCAGCCGAGTTTAATTTATGGAGCGCCATCGAACGACACTCAACAAAATGGGTAATTCAAATGCTAATTCGATCGTGTTGCATCAGTCAATCCAGGCTTTGTTCTTGCATGTCGCCATGCTTAATACTTTCATACGCAATGATCTAGATTGACCACTTTTCACAGTGTAACCATTGTTTGTACCACGTGTTAATTATATTTTTCGATTCATTCGCTAATATAGGAACTCCTTGAACGCTTGAATTTAACAGAATCGTAAAGTTTACTAGCAGTATAACTAACAATTGAAATTATTACTGAACTGCGAACTGTTATGCGAATCCACGGTGTTATGATTATAGTTAATAACTACAAAATTCGAATATAGTTGAGTTTCATTTGCTGCATTAATAGTATTATTATTACTTGTGACTAGTTACAGGTATAATACACCCAATCGGGCACATGGAAATCCATTTCTAAACGATGGGACGAATATTAAGTATCATCCAGATAACAGCCATACCACCGATCGACCCTTCTATCCACAGACACACTCCTTAAATTCATTCGGACAGGGTCGGCCATGGTGGACGGCTAGGTAACTATCACAGACGTATTGATACCACTTAATGCAATCTATTACCGAATATGTTTCCCTTTATTAATTATCCAATTAACATATCACGATCACAGAATTTCATTCTTAACTGGCCAGATTCGACGGAATACCCTGAGCAGACGATGACCACATTGATTTTCGTTTGTTTTATTTAGATACACACGGGATAGCAAAACTGCACCCCGAACTGCATACGAGAATCCATTGCTCAGGTACAGCAAATTGTCTAAAGAACGCCAGAAAAGGCAGTCTAATAATCCCGAAACTATTCATCTTTGTCCAACCGTGGCAAAATACATTTCGCCAAGGGCAGCATTGAATAATCAAGGAAACTGGATGTACGTAGTTAATCTTCCAGATGACAAATATTCGCAAGTAGTAAGAAGCGAGACATGCATGTGAGTAATTCAAACTGATATATAAATATTCGTAGAGACTTAGACCAAAATAATTTAGAATTGAGGAACACGCGTTGGAGTGTATGAAATCCGATATATTTCAGTCAGACATTAATTTGAATTGATCGATTTGAAACTTTAAATCTCGAATTAATATTGTTTCAGGTCCAGTTCTATATTACAATGTTAACAGTTTAAATGAATGAAATGTTGATTTTTCGTTATTTTTTCAGGGAAACCGTATGCAACGGTATTTGTTCATTACCAACGGGTTATACAAGCAAATGTGAGCAACTGTACGTGCAGAAGAGGCTAGTAGCGTTAAAAGGAAACGGAAATGAACTGTACAACGACTTATTCTGGTTTCCTCACGGTTGCTCCTGTCAGATCATGCTTAATTACTGAAAAGTGATTTTGTCATCGAAGATTACTTTAAGCCGAAACTGAAAGTCGATTTGTGACACAGTATTATGGACTTCCTGTAATCTATCGTGAGGAATGAATTATAGAGAAACGATTAAGAATGTAAATCTTGAAATCGTTTGAAAAAATCAACATACATGACTTAAGAACAATAACAGAAAATCTCTTCTCAGTTCCTGCACTAAAAATGCTTGAACTTGGGGAACACACATTTGGAGAATTTAGAAATCGTATAATTAAAGTCATTTGCTACTTATTTATTGGTACTTCAATCATCATATGTCCATTTAGTTACCTTTTCTATTTTAGAATAGTTGACCTATCATCTAGAAATACTTGGCATAATGTAATTATTACAATTTGTATTGAGAAACAAGTTAATAGGAGACTTTTAATTACACTATACTAATAGTACGTAAAGTTAATGGTTCAAAAGCAGTTTGAATATTCAACCATCGATATTTTCAAACAAGTCTTTCATAGATACCATTGTAACTAGAACTTAATACCTTTACAATTCATTAACATAGCTTATAAATTATGTATTCTCAGTGAACCCATCAACAGAATAAACAGAGACTGTTAGACCCTAGAAGAACTCCTTATCATTTTAACGCCATGCCCAGTGCTAAAATCATTACGAAGAAGCAATACGCGATCATGTATACATTTTTCTCACTACTATTGAAACCAGCCGTTCTTTTACAATTTCCGACGCGTCGAATTAAAGCTGAAAGTATCTACTTTAAGCCGGTATCGGTTTCGATTATATGGAATAACGAGAATATATTGAAAAATGCGATGGAGCATCAAAGGTGACCAAGGCTAAAATTAAACCCCTGGATATGGGCAAATTTTTTAATTGACAAACTGAAGTTCAGAGTCTGCATTTTAATATGTTAATGTTCTGGATCATGAAATTTCAAAACATAGAATTTCTGTAGATTCATTTTCTTTTTTAAGTCTATGCACAGACTTGTATGTTAAATTTGTTATGTGATTGTACAAACGTTGTATAAAATGATAAGTAATTTTCTATTTGCAGTTCTGTAATACCGACATCGTCAAAAATGTTCCAGTACACTAGCGACCCGTATCCTAATTGAAAGGGTCAACTATTGAACTACATCACAAACTTAAAATACGTAACTACATACGATTGAGACTACCGACACCCAATTCAAATAGATCTTTACTATTACACCACTAGATGGCGGTTAAAAGATATATAAAAGCATAAATCTTGTGGGTGATAAAAGTTCTGTACATATTTTACATTGTATTCAGTTTCTAGGAGCTTTCGTTCTGATTATATGATTCTCTTTGTTCCGAATTTGTAAAGCTATTTGCGAGATCAAAAGTATGTATATTTAATGTAAATGGATATACTTACTTACGTTTAACGTGAATTTGTTTCAAAATAGATACTAGATTAATTTAAACTGTTAATCTAATTATATATAGTTCTCATTACACATTGTTACATTAAGGTTCATGATGTTTCTCGGTATAATTTTCTATTATATTCGTAAAATTCATATCACATATGTTATTTATAGAAATTAATGTGGAATTGAAATTAACCTAAAATTCTGAAAATATTGTAAAGAAATTTTTAATAAACCTTTTTTTTTAAAATTTAGCATCGGATATGAGTGGTTATAGAATTTTCAGATTTGTTCAACATGTGAGGTTTGTAATATTATTTTTGAGATAAAAAGGTGTTTCAATATCTATAGAATTTAACACTTTTCAGAAAAAACTCACATGAATGTTGTACAGATATGTATCCAAAAGGGTTTCTGAAAGTTACAGTAAATCAAAAAAATGTAAGGAAATATTCAACTCCAGCAGAACGTAAAACTAAATCCTGGTGGTATTCCATTGCAAAATCGGAGTGGAATATACCTATTGCAATATCTATATCACTGTGGGCACTAATGCAATGGAAGCTTACAAGAAAATATTTTCCACCAACTGAAAATGCAAATGTGTACGCGCCAATCAATGTTTTTGTGGTATAACTTTTTTTTTGCTAAAATGGCAAATTACCATTTATCATTTTGTAGAATCATTGTCATAGCTAGTAGGAATCTTATAGATTAAACCCATTAATTATTTCATTTTCCCCACATAGGTAAAATGTTATTATTACCTACCACTTCGGATAATAAGTAGAATATGGGGTTGGATAGCTAGTTTGGAATTACCCGTCGCTTTGAGACCAACTTTATATGGATTTTATGCAAAAACATTTCATGCTAATCTAGATGAAATTGATGCTGATTTATCAGAATTTCCAAGTCTTGTTGATTTCTTTGTTAGACCACTTAAACAAGATGCAAGACCTATTGACCGCAAAACAAGTATTGTATGTAAACTATTGTATGGAAATCATTATAAATAAATATGAATATTACAAATAACATCACATTTGTATATAATTTAAATATAGGTATCACCTTCGGATGGAAGGGTATTGCATTTTGGACCTGTAACAGCATGTTTAGTGGAACAAGTAAAGGGGGTGACTTATAATCTTAGACATTTTTTGGGTGATATGAGTACTTTTACCTCTGAATCACCTCTGAAGTTTACATCAGAAGATGACGATAACTATGTAAAATCACTTTTGAAAAACCCAAAAAATCAACTATATCAATTAATAGTTTATCTAGCTCCTGGAGATTATCACAGATTTCACAGCCCAACTGATTGGGAAATAGAGTTTCGTAGGCATTTTCAAGGTATATATCATTTCTGTTTTCTGCTTTACATGCGTACTATTATGATTAATATGATCAATAATGACTTTTTAACGTCATTATTAATCATACTAATAAATCCAAGTTCTATACTTTAAATATTATTAATGTGATATATATTCGTGATTGAACTGTGAGATACATGAAGTAAACTATTTATTCTCAGGAAAGCTGTTAAGTGTCAATCCAAAAGTAGCTAAATATCTACCAAATTTATTCTCATTAAATGAACGTGTGGTATATGTTGGAAAATGGGCTGGCGGTTTTATGGCATACACTGCAGTGGGAGCAACAAATGTAGGTTCTATAAAAGTTTACTGTGATAAAGAACTGCAAACAAATAAAATTATGTGGCCTGAAGTGAAGCATTGGAAAGATGCTAACTTAGGGTGTGCACATATCAGCAAAGGAGAATTGTTTGGTGAATTTAGAATGGGATCTACTGTTGTATTGCTATTCGAAGCTCCAGAAGATTTGAAATTCTGCATACAACCAGGGCAAACAATAAAAATGGGTCAAGCTGTGACTAACTGTACTGTTAACACTGAGGAGAAACATAAATATTCATTATGACAATTAATAGATCTTGTTGCACTTGACTGGAAATATGTTTGGGGAACAGACACATAAATGGTAGATAGTAATTTAATGATCTCATCTAATAGAGATAATGCAATAAAAGACTTATTTTCAATGTCATTGTTACTGTTAATGTATTGTTACTCAAACAAAATGACTATGCTGAAGAATACACTGAAAACTTCAAATAAATGGCCAAACTCGGAAATAAAGTTTTTCAAAGGTTTTACCGACGTTACAAGTGTAAAAGCTACAGAGAGTTACAGATAGGTACCTTTCTATACTCAATGAACCAGAATTATTTTTATCGTAATAGTACACGTTTATAAACATATGATTAATTCAGAAAATGACTGCAATGCATATTCAAAATTGCTATCTGCTGTATTTTCATATTGTTTCAAAGTACTTACATTGTTGTGTTACAATGCGAACATTATTATTTGCAACAATTGTTTGTACCTACATGATTCAATGTTGTGATACTCTAATACAAAATATACATCAGATAGACAAGATTTTAATGTATATGAAAGTGTGTATGTATATATAGAATTCTTTCAAACTTTGCTAAGACAATTTTGTATATGAATTTAAGAATATATGATAAAGAAAAAAATAAATTGTATTTGTGCAAGAAAGATTTCTACAGTCATTATTTTAATAACCTTATACCGTTTATATTTTTGAATGTAATGGATTTATAATTATACAGTTAATTGAATTACATGTGCGCCCAAGCGAACAGCAGAAGGGACAAAAATCGATTGAATTGAAGGCTTCTTTCATCTTGATTTTGTCTCGCGTAAATACCTTGTTTTCTCGGTTCAGGTGTCTGTAAGTCTTTAAAACTGTTTAGAAGCCTTCCAGCGTCGGTATGCTATAGTTGTAAATGATGTAGCTGTTTTTGAAACACGTTTTAGTTAGTACAAATATATTTATCATTTATATTTATCTTGCCATTTAGAGAATAATTATAAGTACTATTATTATGTATAGAAAATAGTATATAGAAAGTTCATATAGATTAAGTATGTAAATGAATATCACCTTTTCTTTGTCGTTTGAAAAAATTTTTTAAAATATTGATTAAATGTTGCTCAATACAGAATTTATTAAAAATAAATGATTCTTAATTATAATTCTCGACATTACGTATCGTGCAATGCAATGCATTCACAATATCCGATATGTTACACGTGTACGTTTAATTGAATCGTCAATCAATGAAAAACAATCATATGGTAAAGTACCGACATTATATCGTGTAAACATTTAAATTTTAGCTGACAAGCATTGTGGTTTACAATAAATGCAGTCCCTTCCTCCTAGGCGATCCGATATCGATGTTTTCAGAAAGTAGGTGAAGCTTAGGACACCTTCGGGCGCTTGACATAGTATCGTCGGACAGCTACCGATGACCTCATAGCAGATGCTAAGAAACCAGGATTTCTTGGTAGATGAAAATCGATATGGTCCATCAATCATTTGGAATCTTAGTTTATAAGCTCATCAAAAAGGATCAGTGAGAAACCGTCTCAACATTGCTTGGTGTGGATGCAAAGTAGAACCTCTTTCAAGCCATCTTGGGGTCGCAGATCATTGTGACAAGGGATTTTACAGACATAGAATTATTCTACGATCACTCAAAATTATTATTTTATGAAACTCAGAACTAGAATTAAAACTTAGATACAAGATTTCAATATCAAAAGCTACGACATCATATCAGTAATGTCGAACTACCCCTATAAGACCTGGATTAATAGGATCTTGTGTTCACGGAACTAACAGTTTCCAATTTTTGTGGCACTTGGGAAATCTTAGAATATATGTTTTTTGAGATATTTCAAGCTCCTTGAATTCTACAAATTCTTAAGATACTTAGAACTATTTGAGATTCCTGGGACTTCTGAGAATATTATATACACAGTAGAGTCGTGGAAAAATGTGATTCACAATTGACTGAAACTGTAGGACACTTTGTTATAGAATTCGTCGCTATTTTAAAAGTTTATGAAACGATTGTAGAGGCAGTACGTAATTTCGAGGCTATTTGTCAAGACTCCACAATTTCGAAACAATACGAAATTGATCTCACAGCACTGAAGTTCATTGGATTGCGGTTGTATAACCCTCAGGTAGTCCGTAGCTAATTCCCGAATTGCAAAGTTTCTCATATTGTGTTCCGAAACGATTGATATGCTCGAAGCTCATTTTCACATACCAGAGATATACATTGTTCCGAGGTTCCGTGACCTTAAGTTAGCCTAAAGTTCCTTCCGCAGTACGGAGTTGTTCTATATTATGTTTGCACGATCCCAAAAAGGTGCAAAATTACATTTACAATCCCGAGACAATTGAATAAGACAATTTTGTAAAAAGATCTAAGAATATATAAAAAAAATAAATAAATTGCAATAGAAATTTCTAAAATTCTTTCGACATCCTTGCACCAATTATGTTTTTCAACACGTATTTACGCAACATTTTCAACCGTAATGTACTCACAATTACATATTCAATCAAATTAAACATCTAAATGAGAATTGAAGGAAACAAAAATCGATTGAACCGAAGGTTTCCGTTTTGATTTATCGTATAAACGTAATCAATTTCGCTTCTGCATTATGCGATAGAAAGGAAAGACAAGAAATGAGGTAGCTAAAGCCGCAGAATATTTTACGGGACGCCATAAGCGTGTCCAAACGTTATTTACACCAACGATAAGTGTTCTAAGATCGACTGAAATAAATTCATCGTCGTGTTAAGGGGTAGGATGGGGCCAAGGGGCGAAACACAAGCGGAATCAAAGCCGCCGTCGCGTGCCGGAATCGCGTTACATGCACGGCGTCGTGGTTCAGTAAGCGTCGCGACGCCCGTGGCGCACGTTGCACCGGATCGTTCGTGTTCGTTTCATGTCGCGAACCGGTGCGCTCGAAATTTCTCTTCGAAATCGTGATCGTTTGAAGGAAAAATCATTGATTTGCCATCGATTCACGATACATCGCGCGGCTTTTTTTAATACGATCATCGTCCCCGCGGCGAAGAAACATTTTGTTACGTTTTCTTTTCATTTTGGTTCCACAAGTACGATTATGGGGCTAGATGGGTGCTGATGGACATTTCCGAGTGACCTTATCCCTACGAAGGGAACCGGGTGCGGGTCCAGTTTACTGCAAGATGGAAACGTCAGCGAGATTTCGACAGCTGAAAACCGTCAAGTTGAGCTGCGATGCAACCTATCGGCTCGACATCAGCTTCAAACCGCCGCAATTGTTAGAGTGGGTACAGTGAATGTGTGATCGTACAACAATCTTTTCTCATTGTGGTGTATAATTTTCTATTTCTCACTATTTCCATTCTTTGGAGCCTTGATCTTCCATTTGTCTGTCTATTCTATTGTGTGTTTGAATTATGAGATTTGAAAGAAAGGAAATTGTTACCAGTTAATTGTTAATGTTTTTGATCGAGTGACACGAATCAAGAAATGTGAATTTATGTTTACACGTAAAGTTTTCGAAATGAATGAGCGGACTCATTGGCTGCACGCGATATTTAATAAGATAATGTCAAATAGTCGAAGACAATTTCATCGAGAGCGTGCATCAGAAATTTTATTCCGAACTTCCGGCTTGCAGTTTAATAAAGTTCTACTTTGTTCCTGAGGCACTAAGGTGCTTAATGAGAAATGTGGAACGAAGTTCGTGGAAATTAACTTTGAAACTTGATTCGTTGCGCATGTACGAGCGCTTAGAGTAAGTAGAAACGGTGATTAACGGGTGGGCACATTCTTTTTTCTTATCAGATCCCTCGTGACGCGATTTACCGCGCGAATCTCTCATCAATGCGTTTAACGTGTCACTTGTATTCAGCTCAACACTTAACATTATAAAATACACTCGTTTCTTCTCAAACTTAAACGAAGTTAGAACGAAATAAACCTGGTGAACACGAAACAGAACAAAGGACATACAAGTAAATAATCCCACGACAAATATTACGTTACAACTACGAATAAAATCCACATAAAACTAAAACAGTATCGTAATCCCGTAATAATCGTGAAACCGACGAAATTAAAAAAGAATTACTTCAAAAAAACCAACCAACCATAACAGGATTGGAAAAGAAACAAACTCACTCGGGATCAAAGAATAACTCCAACGAAAGGGTAAATATTACAAAAAAGAAATGACGACCATTCAATGCGAACCTTCTAAACGAAATCAATCCCATTTCTGTTTGATTACGCGTAAAGTAGAATCTTTTGTGCCATATTTGACTGCGGAGGAACGAAACGTCACAATCTCCTCGGCCTGTGTATGACACACGTGGGTGCACGAAGCACATAAAAAAGATTGCGCCCGTTTCGAACGCAGCTCGAAGGACATGAATCATAGCTTGGAAGCCGGCGGAATGATACATGCATGTATTTAGGCAGGTACGTACACGAATATTGTGTGGCCTATTGTGTGCGCGCCCTGCAATCGCCTATGAACGTGCATGTTTCAACGGGCGCACACCCGACGGACACGAAATCACGTGTCCGGACCCGCGGACACGACCAGCATTTCTACACTACAGGGACATTGTGTCGTTCGACGCGTCGCGTTTGATTTATTCCGTTTACACACAGTCCGCCGACGATCGCGATAAAACGAATACTCCGTGTACGCACTAAAATTTTATGTGTCTTGTTCATAGTTGATTGGTCACACTGTACCCGTGTCGACGAACACCGAATTAACCCCTTCAGACCAGGCGCACATTATGTACACTGTTTTACTACTTCAATATCTGACGAAATATTAGAACTGTGATAGGCAACTGTATATACGAGCCTACTTTTATCAGAAACGTAGTGTACTATCACTATTATAATTCAGATAATATCGTTACTGGTGATGCATTGAATAACGATTAGTGTTGGTAGATTTTCGAACAAAATTTTATATAAAAACGAAGTCTGAGGGGGTTAATATTGAAAATGAGGCGAGGAGAGATGAAAATACCTTTCTTGAGCAACATGGAACAGCTTCAGGAAATATTGATGGGTAATGGGAAAATATCAACGTTCCTCCAACCAAAAATCAATATTTCGTTGTTCTTAACGATGAGATGATTCGTTCAAAAGCGAAATATTTGCTAATAATAAATATAATAAGTTTTATAAGAAATTGTAGGTAAATATAAGTAATGATGGATACGGCCTCCTTTAAGAAGAATGTAATCTCGCCGCCCCCTGCCCTTTTATTTTATAAAATAACAGACAAATTTTTAAATGGTAAAAATGTATTAATAGATTGACTGCCACTCATATTTTTAGTTTAGTTTTGATTATTTTTTGTTCAAAATAATATAGCAGTGGAGTAGTTAGTGCCGTTATTTGATTTAAAGAATAATGTATTGTTTTTTAATATTAAAAGAATACATTTCGATCGAAGTGAGCGGCTTCGATCACAGAACATTCTCAGGGGTGATCGGCGTTGGCCGAACACGGAGTGTATTTTAATATTAAAACTTCAAAATTAGTTTTAATATTAAGAAATAATAAATTATTCTCAAAATTAAATAAAGATATTAACTACTCCATTGAACAAAACATATTCGAAAAAGCAATCTCTGCACCCCAGCTAACAAATAAAAATATCACTGACAGTCGACCTGTTATTACAAAAACTGAGAAAAACGTAATTGACAAAATAATAACTTCCCGCATCCTGTTTTGCACTAGTTCTCAGTTTAGAAATCGCTGCGCTGGACATCAAATCATCTCCCAACTGTATGCACGCCGAAATTGTAGGGCAAAATTCGCTGGCGCGACGTCACAGTGACGCGTGCCGCGAAATAATCGAATTTAAAAGTTTGGCGTGCGTGCCGATGGACGAGAATTCGCTAATGCGCGTCTTCATGGCTTACCGTTTCTATTCATTGTAACCAGGAACGCAAGCAAATATCGGAGAAATGTTCGCGGTCTATTTTCCCGGGGACGCAGACTCACGCGGACTGAATTCTATCGTATGTTCTCTGTTCTGTTCTTTTTTTATTCTTTCTTTCTTAAGAGAGAGAGAGAGAGAGAGAGAGAGAGAAAGAGAGCATATCGTGTACGTTATCGGGTTAAGTTCGTTGGAGTGATACAGATTTTGCGTTCGAGCAGACGTTCGCGGACTGAGATGGAAGATACGAGGAATTGTAAAAACGGACGGACGGAGATAAAGACTGGAAAGACAAGGAAAGAGTATTGATCGAGGCGGGTCAAGTATTACTTTTCTTGTTGAACGGTTAAATGAAGTTTCAGAACTGAGGAAAAAATCAGTGGGCTGCTCACGGTTGGATGATGCACTTGCGATTGAACTTGCGAAAGTGGAATTAATTCTCCTTTGTCAATGATCCGTTTGGAATTGGCGAAGATTGGAATCTGCGTGAACAATCATAATTGAACCACGATGTTGTAAAATAGAATGTCACCGACATTTTTCATTCGTTCGTGAATTACTGAAATTGTTAGGATATTTTTGTTCGTTCCAATTGATACACGAAATTTCTGTAAGACGTCCCATTTCATCGTAATGGACGTTATTATATTTTGCAATGTCTCTCGTACGAAAGTAAATGCCTTTTATCCTCATTTTTCATATATATTATATTCGATTGGAAGGGTCGCCATTATAAAAGCAGAGTATTCTGTTACATGATTGGATAGTGAATACAATACCCCCTCGCAAATAATGGACACTAATAACGTCACGAAACGTTTCATAACGTTGACATATTACTTGATTCTATTGAAATGGGTCTACAATTATATTAAAAATTGTATCGATTTATTTTCATCGTTGTAGACACTGCATAACGTGTCTGCGCGTGACCTACCAGTTCTACTTGAAGAGAATATACAGAACTGAATAACCGTTTTGCTGTAATTCTTAATAAACATCGCGTAATATTTTTTACTGATTTATCTTATTGTGTGCTGGAACTAATAAAAGAAATTATTATAAATCATTATTAATATTCAGCATTGTTGTTGTGCGTAAATGTGTAAAATACTGCTACTGAAATTCTAATTTACGTTTGCACTCGCGATCAGTACAGCCTTCCATAGAACTTTTAGAATAATATTTGTTTGTGCGCAGCTTTGTTTTTAGGAAAACTTCGAATATGTTTTTGACAAACATGCGTTGGAGCTCGTAGTAAGTGAGTTACAGATAGACGTACGTCAGCTCGGTTCCATTCGACGGCACGTGTTCTCGATAAAATTTTTCAATAAAATTCGATTTTCTCGGTGTAGATGTAGAAGTAGATAAATCCCTATGAAAAAATTTAATTTTACAGTATTGACCTACTTCCACGCGAGAAATAATCTTTCTAGTTGCGCCACTATTTCGAGCACGCCTCCTGTTTTTATTAAAAACATTCCGCCACCGAGAAATACGTAACCACTTTGCTGAATTATAATTTATTTTCAATATCGAAGATCAATGTATCGAAAACTAAAATCTCGTGTTCAAAATTTCGTATCTGAATAAATTTAATTTAATTTCACGTACGGAATCAACACTGTTTCGGCCGTACCAGCATTTTAGCCCACTTTTTACTTGTTTCCATTCGACAGACTATTTATGAAGGTCAATCTTTCATTTGCACCAGTATACCACCGTGCCTCGATAGAACTCGATGAAATATAAAGTGCGATGGTTCCGATCTTGTGAAACATAACGTATTTTATGGACACGGGAGACGACCGTTCGTATGAAAGTAAAACGATGCATGAAAAATGAATTTCATTCGTGCCGAACAATCGATACTTTATTGTACGAAATTTATAGGAACAACGAAACGACTGAATTGTTTCCTAGGCCATCGAATGCAAATTGGCATCGGGACGTTGGGATTGTTGTGAGGTAACGATCGATAAGTTCAAAAAAGCGTATGATTTAAATTGCTCAACGCATATTCGATGTATATTAAATAATATTTTGTAATAATTTCATTTCATACAGACTCAGTAATTGAAGTTAAATAATAATAAAATAATTGGAATTAATATTGCGATTAAATGGAATAGTAAAAATAACACTAATTAAGTAAATGTATGCAAGCATTTTCTGCGCATCTATACAGAAAACGGGGAAGACTTATATTGCACACTTTTACGGTGCGTGCACTTACAATAACCCTCTCGAGAACTTTAGCCTCTTAACTCTTGTGCTCAAACACAGGCAGGCAGATTGGCGAAGAACGGTTGAACCTAATAAACTTAAATTAGAATGTACAATTA